GTATATATCCATGGATAACGTTTGTAGGCAACGCTTAATTAATACCTCATACGTACGGTGACACGAGTTACCCATACTCCGCGTGAAGCGGCTTCGCAATTATTATTAATTACGTCACGTGTGCGTTTTGCGAGATTGAAGCAACTTCCTATCGTAAACACGTCGATAATAATTATTACTTAAATACCTAGGACGGCGAGGGCGATGATTACCCGCGTGGAAGGTCTCGTCGGAGGTATCGATAAATTAATCGTGCGCGAGCGCGCATATATCAATTAAGCGTAGGATGGACGAATCATTAATTAATTTCGCGACGTCCCCGTACGTCGCCTCGTTCTCCTCGTCCTCCCCTCGTCTCTTCTCTTCCCCTGCCTCCTCTTATCCCGTTTCGGCACGTCTCTCACCGAGACCCGATTCACCTTTCGCAAGTACGTGTCACGAGAATGAAAGAAACTCGAGCGGCGCCGCTGATTGCTAATGGAGGTGACTTTATCGCGACGGCACGACTGAATTTCGTGACCAGCGAGTGAGCAAGAACAAGAGAGAGAGAGAGAGAGAGAGAGCCCTGCACGTGTTCCCTGCGCAATAATCGCGGATGCAGCGGGGGCGAAAGGCGGCCGAATAAAAATTTATCGGTGCGAGTGCGTTCAATCGTTTCGACAAAGAGCAACCCTTTCTCTCTCACTCTCTTTCTTTCTCCGAAGCGACGCAGAGCACTTAAAGTGCGCCGGACTTTCGATATCTCCCCGTGTAAATACTGACGTCGCGGTGAACGGACGAACGTTGCGCCGAACGAACGCGAAATTCCTGCCGGCTGAATTACGGCATTTCCACCGCGGACGACAGAAATATTTCTGGCCGGCCGGCTGTATCGCGCGCCTTGACCTCTGCGCGGAAAGAAGCCGCGGAAGAAGCATCGATTGGCGCGTTCACGTGAGCGCGAAGAAGGCCCTGCGCGCACGGCCGTAAAATAAGCGCATGGTTGGAATTATATGGAGGTGCGTGTCGTATTTACGGTATATGCCCGACTAGAACTATAACTCAAGACATCGCGCGTACACTCGGGTCGGCTATAAATGATCGCCGGGGTCAAAATCGACGATAACTACTCACGTAGCCTGTGCTACGAGCGAGGAGGATTTTTCGAGCCGATCTGTCGCGCCGTCTGCCCGTCATCGTACGTTACGCGATCGCCTCTCCCGACGCGGTATCGCGCGATCGAGATGCATGCGGCAGAGCACGCGTTGATTAGTCATTGAAGACCGACTGGATCTCGCCGGTGCGAGGAGGAGAGAACTCCGGAATTCTCCTCGTACTCCAGCAAGCGCGCACAAAGGGCCCCGGAGGAGATGATAGAAACGGCCAGTCTACGTGGCGCGTTTCGCGCTAATCCGCGAATACGTCACACACGTGACTGTAATCATCGCGCAAAACGACGCGGGTATTGTGCCGTCGGCGGGCCGGAGAAATAAGTGCATTGAGGGGAGGGTACGCCTCTCTCGCGGCGTTTGAGGCCGCATTCGCGCGCTTTTCATAGCGAACGCACGGCGTCTCGGATGACGGATAATCAAGGACGCGATTCTCGGCGTTTCTCGACGGGATTCCGCGTGATCAGCTTAAGCCTTTTCGGGCACGCGCGAAGCGGGTGCGTGACGACGTGGAGCATTAGACGTCACCTCGTTAGCCGTGGCTGCTGAAACGCCCATCGGCGTCGCGCGTTACGACGGTAACAACGCTGAGCGCTGCAAGTCCTCGTAAATTCTATCCTCGCTGTGCGACACGGAAAGCCCGAACACCTTCGAGCAGCGATCTCTTTGCCAAATATTTGTCGTCGATATGTACATGTATTTACCGCTGTTTAACGCGGCGTGTCGGCAAACGCATAAACCCGCCTTTATCTCCCGTCAGATATTCGAATTGGCATTCGTCTCGTGTGTAACGTGAGGATAGTTAACTGTTGGAAATTATCTCGTCGAACTGTGTCAAGACAGAACAAGGGATCCGATTGGGTGCACGTTGATTGAGTACCGGAGCGGCGTTGTTGCCGCTGTGTGCAGAACTTTCAGGCAGCAGTTTCGCGAAACTAGTTCAAGAACTTCGGGGCGCGAAGTACGACTCGAGGGCGCGTACAAAAGGCCGGGGAACTAGTAATAGAATCCTATCTCTCCGCGCGCGCGCGTACGCTTCGCCTTAATTATGTGACACACACGACGGCACTCTTAAGTGACAATTGAATTGTCGAAAGCTTCGACGCGCGCGCGGCTGAATGCTGCAACGACGGGCGCGTGTCTCCCGCGGAATCGACGCGATGACGTTAAAAATACCACCCTTTTAATACCTTTACTTTTTCCGGGCGCATCGAGTATTATTATTATCGCCACGATGAAATGTGTGTACACGCGTGTCCGTTCTACGATGTCATTTCCCGCGAAGTCACTTCCTACCACAATGCGAGAGGCGCGACAATACCTCTTGTTTGCTAATTGGACATTGAGGCATCTTTATCGCGAGCGTCGCAAGGCCCTATGACTAGGTAACTTCGAGTGCTAATGCGCTAGCACAAAACCACCCACGAGTTATAGGAACGAAAATCCCTTTACACGAGTCGGCTCGCGCGCGCACAGATCTCGAGTTATTATCTCCTTCTCTCCGTACTCGTCGACTCGAGAAAGCACCGTGAAAGATCAGATACTTCCTGCTTCGTCCCGCCTTTGAAGGTACGGCTGATCCGCGCGCAAAGTTATCGAACGATTCAATATCTTGCCGATACCTCGCCTAAGCCGGCTCTAATCGCAATCACGCGATTGAGTGTCCCGCAAGGACCGACGAGTCATCGTCACTGAGGCTAATTGAAAATGCGAGGACTTCGCGTCCGCGGCCGCCTATTATTCTCGCGAGAGACATACCAAAGAATATTCCGCAATCAGCTTCGCGCGAACAAGGGACCCAACCGCGAAATGAAACGTCACTATCAGCAAGATTCCGCCGACGTTTCGCTAATGTATTTTTGAGGAGCGTAAATGTCAAATTTTTTTAATAGCGTCTAGGCACCTTTATTCAGTAAGATATCGTCGGTGCAATCGATATCATGTCGTTAATAAAATAATATCGATAACGGAGACATAATTATAAAAATAACAAGATATTTCAGACATTTTTCATGTCTGAAGAGATCAGTATATAAATCAGTATATAAATCAACATATAAGTCAGTATATAAATCCGATATATAAATAAACAGAGCATCAGTATATAGTGAGACGTATAAATAGAATTCATTGGATTTGTAAAAAAAAATAACGAGTCAAAAATCAATGCGATTTACATCTAAACATTGCATGCACTACGTAGTAATACTGACGCTTCGTGAGCGTTCATAATTGCACGCTTACCATTTCGCGTTGTCCCGCGATGTCCAGCAGTCGTCCAGATCCGTCGACGAAACATACCGCTGCATTTCACCCAGCATCTGTCCATGTAATACCCTGCCTTCGTCTCACGTTTAACGATTTAACAATATATACGCGATAAATTCGGGTAATTTCGTTTTGAAAATGTATTCGCGTGAATCACTAACCATATATAAACCATCGCAAACCAAAGACCATAACGATAAAAAAGTCGAAAAAAAGGCGTATTTCGCGAGCATTAATGCTAGATGGGGTTCTCGTTGCCGAGAAGATCTGATTTCAAAAGTAAATCCGTGAGCAAAATGAACGCAACACGAATTAAAGACCGATCGCGAGAAACATCAATACGGTATGTAGGCGAAGAATCACACAAGTGGCGTGAAATTTTCACGCACAATGGCCTCGCATTTGTGCGAAGCTTACTTTGCGACATTGCGCAAAGACTATTCTGCGCTTTATTGCGCAAAGACTGATTTGTGCTTTATTGCGCAAAAATTGCTCTGCGCTTTATTGCGCGAAAACTACTCCGCAATATTTCTGCAAAGTTGGTTTCCGGAATATCTCCGGAATATTTTTGCGAATATAATTTCCCTAATACATGATCGCGGATTTGAACGTAAGTATAAGACAATAAAAAACGCGTACATGAACAAAATATAGCCGTTAAAATTTTTATACGAAAAAAAAACTGACGCGTAAAAAAAACAATGACAAATAAAAAACATTAGCTTTACTTTCACGACTATTATATTTTTACGAAGAAATACTGTTACTCGACAGTGCCATATATCGCGCAGAGAACTTAACGTGAAAAACTAGAAACGAAATCCCGACTATCGTGAAGTCTGCACGTCCATATTATACCACGAGCAAAATGAACAAATTTCGTCTCTATTCATAAAATCGCGACGCCAATATGCGTAGAAGAAATTTAGAAAAATACTGACCACAACGTCCGCGAAATCTATCGATGCAAACGAAATAATCGCGAATGCCGCGACTGGTGGCGCAACTCTGATGCGCATTATATATTGCAAAAAACAACTGGGAAATCACACTGTGCAAATAGTTATATTGAATAATTCTATAGCTTTACTGAATAAAAAAGAACTAGCAAAGCACTTTTATAAGTGATATACAATAAAAATATATAAATATGTATAAATATAAAAATATATAAATATTTTACAAATATAATATAATATAATATATATATATATATATATATATATATATATATATATATATATATATATATATATATA